GGCTCCCACAAGAGGGAGGTGGCTTTTCAGCTCACAGAAGTCGAGGTGAGAGGTCCGGGCCAGCACAGCGCCCAGGCCCTTCCTTTCTCCTTGTTCAGCCATCTACTCCATGGTCCCAGGTGACTGCTCCAGCCCCTGCTGGCCAGCACCACCCTGGCCCGCCAGCAAAGCCAAGGCTGGAGGGGAAGGGAGGGCACAGTTCTTGGGGGTCAGGATGTGAGTGAACCCCTGAGTCCCAGGAGGCTGCAGGGGGAGAGACTCAGTGCTTCTGGACACACAGCTCACGACCCCACAAACACCCTGCGGTCACCGCTGCTTCTGGAGCGCAGGCCAGGCCTTGGGGACTGGAAGTGACCCACGTGGCCTTTGCACGGAGACCTCCAGGGGCAGTTGAATTCTCACCTGCCTGGCAGGAGACCCAGGGCACCCCCGCCCCTGCCGCAGCCCCCAGCCACTGTCCGTGGAAACCTGCAAGACTGGGCCCAGGCAGCCCGTGTCCCAGTAGCAGCTCCTGGGCTCTTCTTGGCTCGCGGTTCCATCTGCAACCAGTTGGGGGGCAACAGGGGCCACTGTGCACATGGCACTGTGCTCAGGGGCCTGACTCGGGAGCCGTAGCAGCAGTATCAGGGCAGGACCACCGATGGATACGGCCTTCATCCCAGGAGGCCGTGTGTGTCTGTGCCTGTGTGGAGAGACCCCCCACCCCCACCCCCGTGCCCTTTTCCTCATCAGGCCCCTCCCCTCTGTCCACCTCAGACATCATCAGTTTCCGTCCTCGTCCCCCCACCCCACCCCACCCCCCGCCCTCTGGGGTGATTTCTTCTAGAGAGCTGTAAGAATCAGGTGAGGGTGGATCTTGTCAAAACTGCATCTGGCTGGAGACCCACAGCCCATCTGTAGACAACTGGACATTCCCTCACAGAAGGGTCGTGAAGGAACAAGCCAGCCAGGGTGCAGTATAGCACCAACGAAACACACAACATTCCTCTAGTTTTTTAATGTTTTCTCTCCTCCCACCACCCCCCACCCCCCAACTATCATGACCCCAGTTCTACCTTACAAATCTGGCTAGAACCGATCAGATCACAATGATCGACATACAACCCCACCCCCCAGGGAGACAAACAACAGAAATGTGGGTGAAGGGAAACAGTGGCCCGTGTAAATGTGAAAGTAAATTATCAAGGGTTCAAGAGGGTGGGAGGGTGGGGAAAAAAGAGGAGCTGATCCCAAGGGCTCAAGTAGAAAGAAAACGTTTTGGAAATGATGATGGCAACATCTGTACAAATGTGCTCGATACAGTAGATGTGTGGATTGTTATAAGAACTGTAAGAGATCCCAATAAGGTGATTTATTAAAATAAAATTTTAAACACTGCTTCTGGATATCTGGGGTGGAACTGGGATGAATCTGTTGGAAGCCCTGATGAAGAAGGAGCAGGAGTCCCAGGGGAGAGTCCTGCCGGGAGCACAGAGGGCTTGGTTGGGACAGGACTTGATGTGACCGGGGTCTCTCTCCCCCACAGGCCTCAGGATGTCCCTGGCAGACGAGCTCTTGGCTGACCTGGAGGAGGCAGCTGAAGAGGAGGAAGGAGGGAGCTATGGGGAGGAGGAGGAGGAGCCGACCATCGAGGACGTGCAGGAGGAGACGCAGCTGGACCTCTCGGGGGATTCGGTCAAGAGCATCGCCAAGCTATGGGACAGCAAGATGGTAAGAGGGAACCATGACTCCCAGGCCAGCTCTCCACAAAAGGCCCCGGGGGAGTGTGGGGAAGGAGTACAGCAGCGTTTCCTTGGGGACAATCCCCGGCTTCTGACCCCTGTCTCCCTACCCGACAGTTTGCCGAGATCATGTTGAAGATTGAGGAGTACATCAGCAAGCAGGCCAAAGCCTCCGAAGGTCATTCCTCTCCTCCCTGGCTGTGCGGCCGTCCACTGGGGCCCCTTGGCGCTTTTATTACTTGGGGTGTGAACGCCCTGCAGAGCAGTTCTGCTCCGCCACAAATGGGGTGGGGGGGACTCGAAGGCAGTTGGTTTAGGTGGGGTTTAGGATCTGAGTGTGTGAGGAGGAGACTCAGGTCAAAGGTGATGGCTGATAAGCTCAGGGGTTTTGTGTTGTTTCTGTATTTTTATGGTGGAAATGTTTGAGGATGGAGGGTGGCGAGGGTGGTGGGTACTAAAGGGCTTCACAAAGCTCGTGGGGAGGTGGAAAGAAAAGCTACTGGAATCCCCCTCTCCCCCTTCTTGAAGTTCCTCCCATCTGTGTGAGTGTTCTCAAAACCATCGGTTGCCCACTTCATGTGGGTGATTGAACAGGGTGTGGGTTCTCCCTCGGCCAAGCCCACCACGATTCCATCTCCCAGTGACCC